ATTTTTTTTCATATATGCTTTCTTAGATTCTATTTACGTCTAACGAGGTCAACCTTTTGATGGTTTTGGAAGGCTCAGGTACAGGAGAAGTGAAAATCCTGAACGCAGGACGCAGGACCCGGCTGAAAGCAACTCACCAACGGGAGACCTGGAAGTGCCCCCGTCGAGTCCGAGTTGTGCCAGAACTCACTCTCAACACACCTTCTCACACCCTCACCTCCATTCAATTCCAGGACACATTGAACATTTGAACCACGAATGGGGGGGGGGGTGCATGTTTCACCAAGCCCCACCACATCCACATCCACCTCCACCTTCCAAAACTGAGTCCATCTGTGTCCAGTCGTCCATCAAGCCGGTTCATGGAAGGCTCTAGGGATCCAAGTTCACGGAGTACCTCTCAGAAGGTGATTGGAGACACGGTTCAAGTATACCCTAAGAAGTCCAGTTCGACGATATTTTGACCGGCTGAAGAAAGGATATTCCGATATTCCTTGACTCGGGTCACCATGGTCACCTAGTCAGACCATTCTTTTTATAGTCGACTGGACTCCCAGGGTATTCAGATCCGGAAGACTTTGTGAACTCTCAGCCCCTCAGCTTGTTGGTTGGAATGCCCTCTTTGACTCTCAGGGTTCTCGCTTTGGAGGCTCCAGGTCGTAGACTCCTTCTAGTCCAGTGCGACGTCCGTCCATTCAGAGTCCATCTCGTTCGTTCGTTCGGTCCGTTCTCCTCGTCGGTGGAGTTCGATGAAGGCTTCCCAGCAATAGAGATCGGAGCCTCGGTCGCAGCTGGTGAAACGAAGGCTTCACAGCACCCGGTTAGGGAACCACCGAAGGGAACCACCGAAGACCGCCGATCGTAGAGGCCGTACGAACGCCGGGCGCAAGTAAGAACTTGGGAGGACCCCCGGATGCGGCGAGCATCGGCGAGGTGTTTTTGAAGCCGCAAAGCCCCATGTTCAGTGGAAGAACCCGACCGAAGATTTGGAAGCCAAAGCTTGGGAGCTTTTTGGGGGGGAGCCCAGCTTACTGCTTGCGCCCAGCTGTGAGATTCCAAGGTGAGGTGAAACGCGGCTTTTCATGGATGCTCGTTGCACCATGCTTCAGTTTGCAAGAACATGTTCAGTCCCATTTCCAGCCTCTTCCACAAGTCGACTCGCCCTGAATCACAGGCTTGGCAATTCTTTTCAGACCTGTTTCTTCTCTATGTGCTCGCAGACCGCACGCCCCCCAAAAAAAGGAGAAAGCAATAATTATAAAGCAAATACAATCAAAGACATCTATTTATCCCAGAATCTCCCATCCAATAGGCTCCTTTGGCCCCGGTACCCCACCGCCATCCACACCCGCTCCGCTCGCCCCGGTACCCCCCCCCGTCGCTCCGCTCGGAGAAAGCGGCAATCTTCGCACAGGACCTCCGCCACGGTGGCTGGATACTCCGAGCCTCGGAGTGATCCATGGGCGCTGGGTGTGGAAGATCGGAGCTCAACCAGTCATGGCGGGTGGGTGGTGCATGGACGGACCGGAAGAGACTGATGCGGCTGCCTGGTGAATTTAGAGTCTATAGGGATGTATTAGTGCGTGTTAAGTCGATTTTGGGGCATGCGGCATGGTTGATCAAGTGGTTGGTGGTAGATCATGGTTGATCTCTGATTAAGGATATTATAAGATAATTTGTGATATATGAATTAAGGGTGCTGTCTGGGGATGTGGCCTGGGCGGCCGGGGTGCTTTGAGATTCTTCTAGCTAGGTGGCTCACGTACCCTGACCTCCTTCCCGTCCCATCAGTCCCGCCCTGCCGAGGCACACGACAGGCCTCCTAAGACCTGCACGGAGACGGGAGGAGCGGCTTGACCGGCTTAGAAAAAGACCTGGCTAGCAAACCTGTAGCGTTCCAGCTACCTGTTTCCTGGAAAACCCATGGAGACCCTCTGAGCCAAAGAGCTGGAGGTCGCTCCAGGACGGGTACCAGCTGACCCTGGTCCGCCTTGTGGATCTGGTCACACCTTTCGGGGGTACCAAGGTGAGGAATCCTGGGTTGATCATACCAGGCGTTCAGGTCAGGCCAGACCGGGAAGGCCACGCACATTGTCTCCAGGACACCCCGGATTGGCAAAGCTGAAACCTTTGGAAACCAACCAGTCCATGTGCGTGACAATGTACTATTCTTCATGAGATATCATAGATATCGATAGAACTTGGCGTTTCATCCCTAGGACTTGTTGTTTGCTGGCAGCCCATGTCAGGACCTGAAAGAAGTGGCAACGTGAGAACGTGAGAACTCGTCACACACCCTCCAGAAGTGCGAGAATTCGACCCAAAGGGCTTGACTAGTGACTAGTCACAGGCACCGGTGGTCGTCGCCGGCCATTAACTAGGAAGTTCCACTGCGGAGACGTCTCAAACTCCCAAAACATATGAAAACATCGTGTGGCCAAGCTGCCTAAAGTGGGCCAACTGGGTCATAGATGAAGATTCTGCAGCTCTACGTGATACATCTCTACAAATGCATAGCCGCCCCTAAGGAGTGCAGCCTGGAGGAAAAGTGGGCCAACATGGTCAGTCCAAGAACTAAAACATCTTGACAGTTGATTTATACACCCCCCCCACATCCATCTAATCTACCAACATGGAATCAACATCTCCATTTCATTTGGTGGGTGTTTATGAATCAACCAACCTTCACAACTTTGACTCTTTACCATCTTTACCTCAAAAAAAAACGGCTTCACTCTGCCGTTTCGGCTTCACCGGTCCCGTCGTCACCGGCAGGCTTCAAGACTTCACCGGTCACGTCGTGGCGAGTCAGGCGCCGCGCCTTCTTCCGCTTCTGCCGGATATGCGGCTGTCGCTGTGCCACCTTCGATGTTGGCAAAACAGCAGCTCCCCTCCCGATCTTCTCCCCGAACGTCCTCGTCAACTGGCTCCCGACCCAACGACCCAAGAAATCACGCGCCCAACCAATCAACAGCGGCTCACCCGGAGAGCACCTGCAGCTTGCTTTTAGCCAGCCTAAGACGCTAAGAGTCAGGTTGCAGCTATGTGGTCGTTAGTGAACCATAATCGTATCAAGCTCTATCTTCTTTGTCGTCACCATCTTGCTTTTACAGAAAGTATGCAGACCGGACCAAACCGGTCAGGTCAACAAACGAGTACCACTCTATAGCTTTAAGAGGTGCCACCATGGATGGCACAGCTCAGAACCCACAACTCCAGTGCCAGCTTCAGCACTATGGAGCGGCCGCGGTTCCGTGACCCACGTGACCCGACCGACATAGACCCACCCCTGTGTTTAAAAAAAAGGGGGGAATGAACATACACACCCATATCTAGCCAAAGGAACTCTAAACTCTATGTTCAAGCCCATGAGGTGGTCGCCTTAAGTTGATGGTAAGAGTGTCGCGGTAGTTGTGCAATATTAAGTGGCTATGACCTATGACTTCAACATGTGACAGGAAAAATGAACTCCTGCGAATCTGACTGAATTATTTGCAGATTGCTACCATTTGCTACCTTACTATAATTAATATTAACATAATTAACTAATTAGACAACGAACGGACGGCCTCTTCAAGACTTTGTCCCAATCAATGCCCTTGGCACGAGCGCACCCCTTGGCACGTCCAACCCGCGCCTCCTCATATGCCTTGTCGCAGAAGAGTGTGTTGTCCTGCAAGGATGCCAGTCATATGGCCCGCAAGAGGCGATCTGGAAGACATGAAAGATACAAGGTACTCCAAAGACTCCACACCCGTCAAACCATCGAAAGGGGATCATCTTCCAGAGTTGATTGACTTAGGCCCTAGTGACGTGGAAGATGGTCTCAGTCAACATGTCCCTGGTTGGGCACCTTCCACTGATCTGAAGTGGAAATGGGATCATCCCTTAGTGCTCCAACTACTTCCCCAAAAGGTACTCAACTCTGCAAACCTACCCTAAACTAGACACCTTCTCGGATATGTAGTGACAGGGCTACCCTCTATTTTGGGGGATTGAGAGAACCTTCTGAACTCTAACTCTAACTCTCTCTCTCTCTCTCCGTCGCGCGCGTCGCTTGCTCGCTTCATCTTCCCCTCCCCCCCGTCGAACACACGGTCCACTTCGCAGGTGGCCAGCTGATCTGGGTAGACCTCAACTGGGGAGGAGCTCGAGCACGTCGGTAGCGCGGTCCTTTCCCAAGGAAACAGCCACCCGTTAGGGGTTTGCCCTGGGATTGGAGAGGTTGATGATGGGTTGGGGCGGCAAACCACCAGCTGAAGTGGTCAAGTGTTCAGTGAATGGCGGCTGATGAGTAAGAGTTGAGAACCGGGGAACTGATCAATCAGATCGTGCGGATCGTGACAGGGCCTCCTTAGGACCGAACAGGATCCGGAAGGACAGCCGTGTATCGATCGTGGAAGATCCAAAACAGCGACCTCCCCATCCACCTGTTGGCTTGGTGGGGCAACCACTCCACCAAACAGGTTCAACCCTAAGAATCCGGGCCCGAACCAACACATAGGGTTTGCTTCGGGTCCGGACCCCTGCCAAGGTGTCGAGCCCGTTCGGATTCTTGGGGTTTGGTTCGGTTGAAGGTGATCCACTGATTGGGTCGGTTTCTTCACCCACGAGAATTCACATGGCCATCGACTCATCGTCACCTCCCTGAGCCATGAGATTCTGTGAGGCTCCGAACAGAAAGAAACATCATATGAAACATATCTATACTTCAGGCAGACAAAAGTTTACGCTTGTTAGCCTTCTTCTGGCAACTTTCTTCTGGCCAGTGTATATATATATAGAAACCGACGGAAACAGGGAGGCCTTGGACCGGGTGAATCTGGCCGTTCGTTCTTTGGGTGAACAGTTCGTTCCTTCGTTCCTTCGTTGAAGGTGGCCACGATCATCGCTTCCCACCGTTGAAAAAAAGCGTGCAGGGCACGGAAACAAGAAATGCCTCAGTTCCGTAAAGAAATGCCTCAGTGGTCATCTCCAGTTCGGGGCCGGATCCTCGCCCTTTAGGGCGACAGAAAGCCTTTTAAGAGCAACAAATCCTTCGACACAAACAGCCGGGGCTCCCCAGCCGAACAAGTGGTCTGTTCGCACTTCACGGTGGTGTGGTTCTTTCGCTTCCCCGTGGCGTGGGTGGCTGCCTCGGGTGACAAAAGAGGATGGACCCTCATGTGATCTTTGAAAAGGGCAGGTGCGGTGCGGTGTGGTGGGAGCAACAACATGTTCCAAAGGATTGGTTCCTGACCCCACTGGAGCGGATGCCCCCACCCTCCAAGTTCGGCACCCGACCTGAAAGTGCTGGGAAGTCCAGGGCAGGAAGTTCTTGAAATCGGGTCACCGAAAGAACATGTTCTTAAATCGTCTGGACTCCCAGGGTCTTGAAACATGACTGAAAAAAAACTGGACATGTCGGAGTAGCAGTGTGCCCCATGCTAGAATCTACCACAATAGTTTACTCACCTGCGGAGGTGTGTCCACTGAAAAACAGCATCAGCCTTTTGCGATCCCAACTGGGTGGACATTGATGCGTATTTCCACTCAAGGATCATCAAGGCACCCCCCAAGCACCTCTTTTTACACCCACCAGCCGTGAGTCAATGACTGGGTGGGGATTGAGGCCACCCCAAAAAGTATTCAACATTCAATATGTTTCAATATTGTTTCTATATAAGCTATAGTAATAACCAAAGAACAATTTATCAGTTCCAAAGGACACATGTAACATAGACATTCAAACACAACTATCAAACAATGTGTGCCCATGCGTCCAAGACTTGGATTTTTAAAGTTCGACTTAGATTTGCAGCCTCGACTTAAAAATGTACTGTTTAGACATACCGCGACACGATCCCCTTTGGATGGTAGCACGGGGTCTGAAAGCCAGAAATCAACAGTGCGTGGAACATAATTACGGCTATAATAAGTTCAACACATTTATAGTCAAAAAGTTTTATGAATTGATACTGCACTTTCTGGATTTATACTGATCGCATGTTTGTATCTGTGACGCGTGCGGATCTTCTTGCCCATTCGGACCAAATGAACAGTGGACTGACCATGGACAAACCGTGGAACGACTTGAAAAAAGGCACGGAACGACTTTAAACAGTCGTGGAAAGACATATAAAAAAGGTCGTGGACACCACCACCCCTGAGAATCCACTTGAAACATGTTTTACACAGCACTGTCCACGAAAAAAAGTCCACACAAAGGATGAACAGATTGGCTTCGTGCCCGGTGAAAGGATTGGAAAACGGCTTGACGATTTGAGACTATGTACATGCACATGCGCAAACAGGGGTTGAAGCTTTATTTGATGCTGCTCAGATCACTTAAACACATGACATATATAGGTTCCAGGAAAGATGAAATACAGCGACTCTGTTAAGTCTTTCATTACCAGTTTAAGTCTTTGCTCGAAGACTTTGGAAGTTTAGGGTGTGTCTGGTCAATCTGTCGTTCCGTCCTTTTCCCCCTAATGGGGATGAACAAACACCAACCGATGACACCGAAGTTTTTCAGGCTGCGTTTTTACGAAGACGAAGCAAGTGATCTGGGGCCCCCAAACAAAGCCCTCCAGCGAAAAGAAATCCTTGCACTGCTCGCACCTGAGATTGGGTTGCGTTGAATGACACACGCGACCGGCAAATAAATGTGAAAGCACTGTGAGTTCCTTCAAGATCGGCTCCCCACTGGGGACAACTACACGAAACATGATCAATGTGTAGAATTTACCTTAAGGCTATTTACCAACATGTGACCTTGTTTCACGATCTCGTTTGGTCCATTTCAACCTTGTTCGTAACATGAAAGCAAACATGTCTCTTGGTCTTGAGATCCTAGAAGTCGGTAAAAGACCACTTCAAGATAGATTTTGTGGTTGTACGGTGCACTGACTTAGAAGATAATGCCCATTATCTGTAAATAGAAGACCTCATGTCCCAAACTGGAAGGTTCCAAATAGAAGGTCACTGGAAGGTGTGGATGCAAGCTGAGTGGCTCCTCCCTGTTTGACTGGCTGTGGACAAAACTCACCCAAATGCTCACCGAGACACTTCACTCGTGCTGGTTGCCCTTCGATTTCGGTGCCTCAGCTTGGTATGCTGGTGTATCTGACTAGCTCCAGGCCACGACTAGGGCGTCACCAGTGGAGTGGTGCTTCCAAGAATTGGTGGATGGGAGTGTTGCCGGTTCTCCACTCTTTGGATGCACATCTTCCTTTTCTTCGTCACTACAACTTGAACTTCCAGGGCTTGCCCTGGAAAGCTGTCATATCCATGAGTCCATGAGCAAAAAGACATGGAGGATATATAGAAGAAGGAAGCAGCATGTAAACAACCCTGAATGAGGTTTGAATTTGGGACCAAAATGGACCAAAGCCACCTGAAGACATTTTTTTTTGCAACCAGCTGCCAGTCAACCGCTGGAGGAACGATGTGTCCGGGGGCGAGGGCCAAACGCTCGTGCCCTCCGTCAAAGCAAATTGGAACTCTTGTGACTGACTGGTGCGACTCCTGAGGAATAAAGGTGGCTGGATCCAAAGGAATCTAATATAATCCAATTGATTGGTAATAATTAGTATATAGTTGGGTACTAAGCACCAGTCCTGTGCTTCTTTTCTATCGCGTCTTGTTCACACCCTCAAAAAGCTGAAGCCGATGGTGACAGCAGTGCAGCACCGCGACGATGGTCCCGTCTGCACGCGAGTCACGGGTTACACTCCGACTCATGAACATCCTCAGACCGAGGGTAGAAACTTACACCTCAGACCGACGGTATACAAAACTCAGACCGACGGATCATACACTCCGACCTATGTGAACAAACCTCAGTCTTGTGTGGGTTTTGCCAGCGTTTTGCCCACCGCGATCGCGAAAGCGATCTCATCCGGCCCAGGAGACACATGATCACGGCATCCGGCTTGTTCAGGACGTCCAAGCGGATCTGTTCATTGCGCACCTATCGGTTGGTTTGGTCGCCGCCTTTCGGAGGTGTTCGGAATCACAGCACTGTCCAAAGGTCCTTTGCTGCATGGTTCAGAAAGAAATCCCTTAAAACCAAAAGGACAAAAGGTCTATAAGACTGCGCCTCAACACAGTCAAGCTCAGTCAAGTTCGGGCTTGAGGGGTGGAGGCAAGCGACTTCCCCTTCCCCTACCAATGTTATTTTAGATTTAACATCATTTTGGTACCCATGTATGCCTTACATATCAAGGAACACCTGTAACTGACCGTGACGGGATAGCCGAGACCCTTTCGAGTTCCTCCCGGCCCCGCTGGGGTCGGTCATCCCCGGTACCCGCGAAGCGTGGCGCGTACAGCCCTCGCCACGCTTCCTCGGGATGTGCCACTCAACATGGGAGGAGGGCTGTGCCACGAATGAAGGGGGGATGCACAAAGCCACATTGGGTAATGTTGGTGGGCCATGTTGACCACTTTACGAATTGATAGGAATCTCAAGCACCTACATGACCTGCATTGACTCAATGGCAAAAAAAGAATGTAGGCCACATGCAACCATGGAGCCATTGCAAACTGCAACCTTGGTTTCAGGTCTTTGAGTTTGTTGCAACATGCTCCACCTCTTTTCCCGCATACTCAAGGCTGGCAGAAGCTCCTCCCCAAATTCAACATGTCCTCTGTTCCAAAGTGATTGTACCTGGACCCTCCGGTTTCCAGACTCGTCCGATGCCCAGGTTCCTGTACAAAGTTGCTCCCACAGCCGAACCTTGGAGGGTCAGCAGGTGATGAGTTTCGACCGCCCAAAAGGCTCTGCCTCATGCAGGAAGGTGTCCATGTCCGCCTTCTGCTGTGCCTGCAGCGCGATGTCGTACTGGTCCTGCGGAGGCGGAGGCACCGGCCGGTGCCCCGCGCGGTTGGAGCCGCAGAAACGCATGGCCCGGGGTCCAAACACCGTCTGGACCGTATTGGGGAACGCCAAACCAGTCACATGGCATTCTATATATATATAACTATATACATACATGGAAGCTGGTGTCAGGACCCCCTTATAAAGGAAAACGGTCTTCCAGGCGCCGAACCGTTCCACTTGCAGGAGTGTTTCAGGCAGTGTAGTTCCATGATGTTCCAGGGTTGGCTGAAGTGGCAGGTCCATCATGTACAAAATCCCTGCATCCCATTCCATTCCTCCAAGCCCTGAGGGGTCTTGGCAATCGACGTTTCTGACATCTCTGACAGGCCGCAACGGGAACACAGGTGCAGCATGCATGCTGCTATTTTGACCATTGCAAGAAATATCCCAAAAAACAATGTCTTGTGGTACAGTTTTTTTGCCCAACAGCCTCTCCCAAAGCGTTTTAAGTCCTCTCGTCCAGCGGGGGAGCAGTCCAACTATTGACACCTTTCTACATTCTGCATCACTGACCTTCGGGATATATCTTTACCCAGTGTTCCTTGAACTAAGGTTGACAAACCTTAGGGATTCAAGTCCCGAACCCAGGTGATTGGATACACGTACTTGGGATCTGTAGGGAATTCAACTCTCTTGGATCTGTAGCACCTTTGATCTGTAGGGTACGTGGGGATTGGGGTCAGTGAATCTTCCAAACTGATCAAACATTGGCCACCCCCCCATGCCACCACATGACCTCAGGTTCGCTTCCAGTCATTGAACACTGGAGGTGTCCATCCATGATCATCCATGGAACTGTTCATTTTGGGTGGATGGTCCAAACGATCCAATGGTGGGACGGCTAATTATATAGCCTTTTGAAGTTTGCAGTGTACCACCAAGATCATCCCTTGCCATGTGCGCAGTAAAGGAGTTGTAAATGGGGTGAAGGAAACCCCTGCTAAGGGCATGGAGAGAATGAACCTGCTCACAGGCCATGCAAACCTACCCTGCATTGTGTTTCCTTGTGCTTAAGGGATTGTCAACCGGGGATTGTCAACCAGAGCTTGCAATTAAAAAATACTTTACTTCGAGTGATCCCCACCTGGCATTCTATCTGGCATATCTTCTGGCATTCTATCTGGCATATTTTCTGGCATTCTATCTGGCAATGTATCTAGCAATCTATCTGACACAC